GTAATAACTAGTCCTATGCTCATCTATAATATTTGTTTATCTTCAAATACTCTTCCCCGTCTCGTTGCCATCTCCTACTTTTACCTTAATGTGTATCCTTTTCCATGGGGAAAAGGGAAGGCATATTTTACCACAGTTTTAAGGGAGTACTAACTTAATGTTATTCACATTCTGTAATTTTTACTACTAGATACATCTCAGTATGTTTCACAGAAACAAATTCTTACTGCAGAAGTTTTTGAACAGAGTCAGGGACAACATGTTGAAATAAAATATTTTTCTGATTTCCAAAGATTTGAACAATGAAGATCTTAAAATAAAAATATAAAATATGCATGAATCAACAGAATTTGGACCACTGCAGGATAAAACATAAGCCAAATTTTGCCCATGAAAAATAATAATCTGGACACTTTTGATAGAAACCTGTATTGACAAATAAGGGCACATGTTGGGGTGTTGCTACTAGTAGCGTTGAGTCTGAGATTTGAACTCAGATGGAAGTTCTGATGTATTTATTGGGAAAGAAATTACAGTGCTTAAGAGCCTTGAAGCAGGAGAACCACATATTTCACAATTACTGTAAGTTGCCTAGTATTTGAGGAATATGTAATATAACAACCTACAGTGATGCTAACCCAAAAAAGTAGGATTAAACTCTAGTTTAATCTACACCCTCAAAGTGTGCATCACACCTATGTCTTACTACTAAACAGAAGAACATGGCAAGGTGATGGCATCTTTTCCATGGTTTTATTGCCTTATACAGGACTCTGCCTTAACAGACTGGAGAGAAACATTCTCTCCTGGCCTTAAATGAACAAGAGCCATGTGAATTGCCTATGAGAGCCTAGGGAGGGAATGATCCATAGCCCATAAGATAGGAAGGAAGACCCCATTCTATAATCAATAAGAAATTAAAGACCCAAGTGTTCTTTACCTGAAAGGAAATGAACTCTTCAAATTGACACAGCTGGAAAGTGATTAATTTCTCCCATGAGAATCAAGTTGAAAAGGAAGCTGTGTGTATATCTTGATAAATTCTGATCAAACCCTGTGGACAAGACCCATAAAATCCATGTGCAGACTCTTGATTCAGAATCTGTGATGTTATAAGGGTGTGTAGTTGCAAGCCACTCAGCATGTCCTAATTTGGTACAGGACAATAAAAAATTAACAGTCCCCTTAGAACAAACAACAGATCTAAGCAACATGCACAGTGAGCACAGAGTACATTAAATGTAGATGGGAATGAGTTTAATCAGGCTTATTCATAATATGATTAAAGACTCCAACCATACCCACCAAGAGGGTGTGTAAGCACCAATGTACTCCCCCTTTTCAAATATCTGCTTCCATCACAATTGCTAGTATCCTGCTGGTCAGAGAAAACCTAGATAATACACTTAGAACAAGATTTACCAAATGCATGAGTACAGGAAGGGGACTTATTTCAGATGTTTTTCAAATGTTTACTTGTTTTACAAATCATTTGTTGATAAATGTTTGCCCTGGAAGAAGGGGAGCTCTTCAAAGGACTTAAGGTTTCTAAGTTTTACCTCCATTCATTATAGTGTCTTGCTTTATATCTGAATGTAAATAATTCAGAAACTCTTCAATATGTTCTATGTATGAAAATTGTTTTCCTCTCTCTCTTACAAATAATCTGGAACCTGTGATCCTCTGACCAATTTTATTCTGTGGAACCAATAATTTGTCCATGTGCCCAGCGAGGCTAAGACAATGCTCTCCTTACTTTACACAGTTACCTCTTCCACTTGCCAAGCAGAGATGCTTTGAGCAGGAACCTGATGGAAGCTTTTAGTGGTTGTCCTTGTAAGCTCTGGAAATTTTTCTAGGATAGCAAAGATGAGTTTGGGGTAGCAGATTTAGACCAACAACCCTCAGTCTCTCAGCCTGTTCCCAACAATTTCACCATCCAGCACCCTGCAGGGGCCCCTCATCTTTGCCAAAAATACATCTTTGCATTCATGTGGATTACAAGTCTGGGCCCTTATGTGGCTTCCAACCATTACCTTTTTCAAATTCCTGGTAAAATGTTAGTTTTTTGTCCTTAAGTAGTTGGATGATTTTTTGAGAGGAAATACTTGAGGTTTCCACAGAACCTGCTCTGGTGCTGGATGGATTAGATCAGCTTCATGAATACAGATAAAATGATTCACAGTCAAGACACTGGGTCCCTGAATCAAAAATCCTGCAAGTTGCTATATCACAAACTGACCATTAGATGGCATACATACCCCTACAATAAATGAAACACAAAAGTCTGATCTTACAAAAAACAGGAATTCAGTGATACGTGTCACTAGTGACCCCTAAGGCTTCTTATTAGTGACCTCTCAGGGTTTACATGGCTGTGGGAACTTCCTTTACTATGGGCCATGTCTTTCCAATGTTCCAGGTCCTGAATATTTTCTACTGTACTTTGTAATACGTAAGAACTACAACCTAACAGCAATGACATCTTCACAAAAATTCATACAGTAGATTCAGGGTGGGTGAAAATTTACATGGACTTGGTGTGTAAGAGATCAAGGGCTGCAATGCTGAAGACAGCCATGATGTTTGCATTGTGGAGGAATTGGCTTTATGAATTCAGAATGAAAGTGGACAGAACACACTGAGGGCTCCACTCATTGCTTCTGTGGAGAAACACAGGAAGTGATTTATACAGGATGGTGAAGGGAATCAACAGGGGAGAGGAGATATGATTTCATATCTGTCCCCCAATTGTTCTCTAGAGTCCTCGGAAATGGACAGGTCACTGCGTGGTCTACAGCAACTCAGGGTGGGTTCTGAGTTTCATGCTGCTCAATCTTTCAGGGAGCTAAAGGCAGGTGGTGCTGCAACCATTGTGAGTTCTCAGTATGCATACTCAATTTGTCAGAACTTAAAATGTTATAGCAATGATTAAAATTGTATAACATTGTTAATATGTTAACAGTTAATTTTTTAAATGGAGACAATAGATGTAAATTAAATTTGACATATGCTTTTCATCATTCAAGGAAAAGAGAGACTGATGAGACTAAGACTATGAGATAAAGATATTTGCTTTTCTTCCTTTTGGTCTTGGTCCCTCAGATCCAGGAAGAACAGTGCTGAGAACAATTGGCCACATAAAGCCAGGCCTAGCTCTGAAGTCCTGTTCTCTCAGATGTGGATTCTCCATGAAGTTTTTAGCCCTGTTCAGTGCCTGAGGAAGTTGAGCACCTTTGTTCCCTGGATTTTCTCCCAGGCAGCTTCATGGACACAGCCTTTTACTGCCCTTCCCCATTACTGGGCCCCATTGTTTACAGGAATAGTTGCCTTCTGCAGTTCCTGAAAGCTCTCAGCATGGCTAGTCTGAACCCTATCATGGTTTGAGGCTCCTATTCCAAAATTATTTCATTCATTTGAGTGCCTAACAGTCTTTTCTGGCCTTAAATTCATAAGTCTTATTTCCACAATAGACAAAGCCAATGCTGCTACCGCCATAAGGACAATCTGATTTCATTTTCATCCCCCAGACCTGCTTGGTTCCAAACACAGTAGATAGATTCCCTTTAACTCTCTCTCCCATCTAACTTTATTGGAAACATAGGGCTATTGATGAGGGGGAAAGTTTTTGAAAACTACACAATGCCCTTCCAAATTTCACTGTGGTTAATTGAGCTCCAGTTCTGTCTTCTTATGGACAGCAAGGCTTTCTCAGCCCAGGCACAATGAGGGATTAGATGCCACATGATAAGCTCAGAAATAAAATTAAAGAAGAGCATGGTGAGAGGTGTTCTGAAGTGTTTAGTTCCTCTAAACAGTGGAAAGGTAAAGAGCCGTACCCTGAATTTCTTCCTGGAATGATTATGAGAGTGTTTGATCCTTAGGGCCAAAAACTACCCTTCTGAGTCCACATAGCATTAAGTCCAAGATTAAAAAGCCTATGTTGTGAAAGTGTCAAAGTAAGAATATAGAGAAAACTTGGATCCTATCACCAAACTGCTGCACAAACCCTAAATTATCCAACTTTCTCACTTCTTTTTATGACCACTGTTATAATTTTCTTCATTTGCTTCTAAAATGATGACAATTGGTAAGAAAATACACTTAAGAGGAAAGTCTGGATGGACCCCAGATCAAGTTTTAGAGCAAGAATCAGATGATAATCTGATCATATGTTTCTGTGCTATTTTGAGAAGACTGAGGCACAAAGGGTATAAATCATAATGGAATATAGCTTTCCTTGCATTTTGGCATGCAGTGTTAATGTCTAGTGAAAACAAAACAGCTGCAAAGGGTTTATAAATTCTATTCTCTTCCTGTCTCTATATCTTAGTTTATAACTAACCATGAAATATTCACTTGTTTTCCTCATTTCCTCCTTCCTCTCAGGGTCACTAATATAGATTACGCTTAAAAACAGAAGACAACTATTTCCTACTCCATGAAAAGAATGAGAGATGACTCCACCCATACGATAGCAGATAGTTCCTGTCCTGTGTCCTGTGAGGAGAACCACATTTTCTGCAAGCAAATCTGTGCTGACCTGGTCTGACCTGGAACCTCAAGTCTGTGCTGAGTAATTAATGTGAAAATGATGCTTAATTTAGGGTGTGAACTTGTCTGGATTGAATGCTGCCTAGAATATTAGAACATCTGTGTCTGTGAATGTGTTTCCAAACAAGATTAGTTTTGGGGTCAGAAACCCTAGTGAAGAAGACCTGCTGGGACTGTAGTCAGCAACACCCAATAACCTAGAGTCCTAGATGGAACTGAAAAACCAAAAGCAAAATCTATTTTAACAAAAATAGATTTCCCAAAGATGTAAACATTGCCAAGTTTTTTAAATTAGTTGCTACCTTTCATGAGGTGGCCAGCAGGGAGAAAGGACATTTAACAAAGATAATTTCTGAGTATTTAAAATAATATGAAACTCTATGATTTGCATAAATATTTCTCCTTTCCTGTGTACTGGACCTGCTTCTGAGAATATTATAAGAAGGTCTTTTTTGAGGATGTAGTGCGAGCAAACTATACAAGGTCACAGCATCAAGATGATTCCCCCATCACCTCTCCTCGGAATTCTGCTCCTCTGGGTTCCAGGTGAGGATATGTGGACAAAGCTCAAAGTGGGGATGATATTTAAATCTCTGATTTTCTTTTTTCACCGAGAATCCTGCACCATGTGGAATTTGGTTTGATGTTTAGATCTAAAATTAAGAAAATAAGGATATTATTTTCCCTTTCCTAACTAGGCTAAGGGTGTTTTTCTGTGCACACAGTTATGTTCTGCTAATGTTTCTTCTTTGTTTTCAGCCTCCAGTGGTGAGATTGTGCTGACACAGTCTCCAGCTGTCCTGTCTTTGAGTCCAGAAGAAAAAGCCACCATCACCTGCCAGGCCAGCCAGGGCATTAGCAGCAGCTTACACTGGTACCAGCAAAAGCCAAATCAGGCTCCAAAACTCCTCATAAAATATGCTTCTGAGTCTATCTCTGGTGTGTCTTCGAGGTTTAGTGGCAGTGGATCTGGGACAGATTTTACCCTCACCATCAGCAGCCTGGAGCCTGAAGATGTTGCCACTTATTACTGCCAGCAAAGCAGAAGTTATCCTTCTCCCACAGTGGTGCAACCCAGAACAAAAACTAGTTCGGGCTGGTGGAACAGAGATACTGTTGCACTCTTATGACCCTAGCCGGTGGAAATGGGACAATGACCTAGCGATACAATGAAGTCTGACCCACACCAGCACAGCTGGGACCCCAGTCACTTAGCTTCACAGCTACCCACAGTATTTTTTTTTAAATAAGTGAACAATTGTAAACTTCCTCTTTTTATAACCTTATATGAACCATCTGGTCCAAATACATAAAACCTTCAGGTTTTGGTGCACAGGCCACAGTTACTCATTTGTGGCAAAAGGATATTAGAGAAGGGAGAGCAGGAAAGAATCAGAATTTGGCTCAGGACTGATTTGTCCATGGAGCCTATGAATTCATACTTTGGGTGTCATGAGTTCAAATGAGTAGAAATTGAGCCCATTCCCTTGGAAAATACCTGAAACCCAGAAAATCATTGTAATAGAGTGATATTTACATTCAATTCTGCCAGTACAGTATTTTGACTGGGAATTGAAGAAAGTGGTAGAGTTTCATTTGAAAAACTGGTCCATCATTAAAATGAGTATAGGTATCTCAACAGAGTTTGGGAAAAGCAAACTCCAGTAGAGGTGACACTTAGGTGGAATTAGGAAAGGAATCCGAGTCCTTTCTTGCCAGTTCTTGGAGCAGAGTAGGCTTCTGGGCTGAAGGGTGTTGAAATGAAGACTCCTGAAGTTCTCCAATAACAGTCCCTTTACCAAAGATTGTATATATGAAGCCAAGTGAGATTGGCAATCCTAGTTAAGAATGGAAAAGCATGGGCTGGGATTTAGCTCAGTGGTTTCTCCGTCTGCTATGCAAGCGCAAAGACCCGAATTCAATTCCTGGTACCAAAAAAAAAAAAAAGAATGGAAAAGCTAAATGAATATTTTCATTTCATGTTTTAATTGACATAAGAAAATAATTTCTTTGTACCCTGATTATTCTTTTCAGACTCAGTGTCTTTTGTGCTAAATATATTTAGTTCAAAGAACAACAAAGATTATTTAATTATGTCTCCCAGGAAATTTTTCAAAAACTTGACAACTATTTTTGGTCCAAAATCTAGGCCCAGGAATGATAGACTTATAATTCATGACACTGTCAATAATATCTTTCACCACATTTGGTTAGAGAAATGTATACCAATTTTATGTATTCCTACACCACAAAGCCAAATCAGAGTCTAAAACTCCAGTTTTGTTTTCTATAGTGTTAAAAGATACATTATAATAAGAAGTATTCTGCATTATGGTTTCAGGAAAATACCAACTAATGAATTTATGCCACATGATAGCCTCTAGTTAGAGAACAGCATGTGAAAAATGTAGACTGTGTTTATGACGGAGAAAACCTGAATATCAAGAAAAAGTGATGAGATAAGTTTTCAAAAATACTTTGATTGGTCTTGGTGTAAGCTATCTCTCCATGTTTTAATGCATGTTGTTTTCAGTTTTATTCTGTGGAAATATAAGTTTCTTCCATTGAGAATCTTTTTCCATTATTTCACTTATGAGTAAGACCTTAAATAATAAATCTTAAAGACAAGAATAGTATATTGCAGCCATAAATACCTGGTCTTGATGCTGAACGCCTAGTGAAAGCTGATTATCTGATCCTTCACTACCTTCCAGGATCTGATTATCCAATTCTTTATTGATTAGGTGACATCCATTGTTAGGGTTCTTTTTGGGAGGTCCCTTTTGGTAAGTGAAATAAATATTCATTCTTATACATTACATATACAAAATATCTTTATTTAATTTTAAATGTTAGTCATGTGAATTTGCTTGTCATTATTCATCTGATCTTCCATTTAAAAGATTTAATTCTTTATTTTTTACATCAGTTTTCCAATCAGAGAAAATTGAGAGGAAGGTACAGAGATATCCCATGAATTTCCTGCCTGTATACATGCACAGATTCACTTATTATCAGTATCTCCCACCTAAGCAGTGTTATAATAGATGAATCCATCATTATACATCATTATACATTAATACATCATTGATGGAGCATTACCATTAACAGTGTAAGGTTTACATTAGGGCTGCATCTTGGTTTTTTACCATCTATGAGCTTGGATAAATATGTAAATATGTAAAAGCCTGAATCCACCATTGTAGTATCATATGGAGTTGTTGCACGTGTTCTGTTGGAGTTGTTGCACTACATTAAAAATACTCTGAATTCTGCTTATATTTATCATGCCCTGTCCCTAATGGTTGGTCACAGCTATTGATTTATTTTATTATCTCAATCATTTTGCCTTTTCTAGAATGTCATATACTTGAAATAATACAGTAATATAAATTTTCATACTGACTCTTCTCCAAGTAATGATTTCTAAGCCTCCTCTGCATTTTCATGCCTTGACAGCTCACTCCTACTTATGTAGATGTTCGTCATTTTATTTATCAATCCTCCAATATGAAGCATATGTGTCTATATTCTTTTATTTTGCATATAGATGGTCAGTCATTCTTGAACTACTTTATCCATTGTATTACTATTGTTCATCAGAGATCAGTTGTCTACCCCACTGTATTGATCCACTTGTCTGATCTTTTGCCGTTTTCATAAGGTCCTGATTACTGTAGCTTTATACTGAATCTTGAAGTTGAGTACCATCAGTCTTCCAATTTTATTCTTTA